GCATAATTCCTCTGTAAAAGAGCTAAATTCTGAAGAAGTTGATAATCAGATGATGAATCAACCTTCAACTTCAAAAAAAGTTTCCAAAATCTAATAGAATGTCCCCCAAAATTTTATGTCCGAAATGCGACCCTTCCCAAAAGTTGAAAAAAAGTGCAGTACCAACGCTAATCAAAGAAAATCCCGAATGTATAGGTACAGGTACAGGTACAGAAAAGCAAAGACTTGAGGGAGATAATAATAATTTACCGGATACACACAGTGAAAATAAAGCAAACGAAAATTCGAAGGACCAAAAAAAAAGTTTTTGATGAGTAGCGACTCAGAAAATGATAGATATTCATTTACATGACAGGAATGACAACGAGAGTTTTGAGCTTCTTCAAGAAAACTATGAAGTAAAAATTAACAGGCTTCGGGTGAAAACAGCATCCATTTAGAATGTTGAACAATACTTTTCATAAGAAACAATGTTTCTGTTTCTAGGTATCTTTTTTTTTTCAATTTCGGAAGAGTGAATGAAATGTTGTTCGATTATTTTGTTGTTTTTTTTTTGGGATAAGAGAAGAAATATTTTTGTATTTTTTTTTGTATTCTTTTTTTTTAAATTAATAATTACGGGAAAAAAAGTATTGTTTGTGTGTATAAATGTGTCTTGCGGACGAAAGTGCCCCTTGGGGTACTACAATCAAAGGTTATAGGTAGGTAAGAGAGAAGGGTTGAGGGTAACTATAGGTATAACCTAACCCAATGAAATAATCCAGTAATAAATAAGTGACATTAAATTATAAAAAAAAACTTAAACCAAAGTCAAATCATGTTCGACGACTTTCTTTAAATTAAACGTCCTCTCGTCACAACCTGCTGGATAAAGATTAAAAAGAAAATTTTACGTGATAATTCAAATGCCTTTAAATCGAAACGAAGAATCCACATAAAAAAAAATCAATTACAAACCTTCAAAAAAAAAAAAAAAAACTGAAAAAATTCCCGCGAAAATTTCAACTGACTCCCAGCATCGCAAAAAAAAGAAGCGCGGCGCGTGTATTCCGAGAGTAGCTCGAACCGTGCGTCGTACAGCAAGTTGTCACGTCAGCCGTGCACGAAGAGTGACTAATAACCAAAAAGAAGCGCACGGAATTCTCTGGCACGGATTTCCTAACGAGCAGTGGGGTGTGAGGGGGCGTTTCAATTTGGAATTCCGACACTCGGGTTGGCTGAAAGTCACGCAGTCGGGTTCGCGTCGCGCATATAGACGGGCTATTCGTTGTTTTCGACGCCCACGTAACGCTGTCAAGTTATCAACAAGTAGCCAATATGCATGGGCAAAATTTTAACCGGTCAGGAACGGTACTGACCCCTGGATTTGTCGATTTATGTTTGTTTTGTTCCAAAAATAGCTAATCGATATCTGATGTTTTTTTTAGTCTTGTGTTCAAATACAGAAAGCTGTTTCACTTTTCACCCTACATACAGCATGATTTTTACACGCGATCACAGGCCTTTATTTTGTGATAATGGGGAGTTTCATCATAATTGAATTTCATCGCTTCATTATTTTTAATCAATTGTATAAACCAAAACAAAAATACCCTTGCTTTCAGTTGTAGGTATGACCGTTGTATGACGTTTTACTGACCAATAAAAATCTTTCACAATGGCTCTAATAGACATCTTTGACGCGAAGAATGACATTGACAACAACCGTCATTCCATTCCTTATTTGCACCTTGTTTGTTAAACACACTGTCTAACATAACCTAATTTCATGTTCATTAGGGAGTGTGTTTGATTGTTTTTGTTTTTATTTTCGTTTTAAAAAAGATAAACAATATAGCCTTGTTATACTTCAGACAGAGAGAGGCAAATGGGGACAACCTATCGGGTATACCATGATTCAAAAAACACTTTGGAGGGTGAAAGCGCAATGCAACATACGGTGCTTAACCCACATAACAGTGAAAGAACATTCATTTTCTCAGAATATTTCCTCAAAGTGCTTTTTGGAATGTTCTTTTAGGAATGTTTAATGAATATTCTAAGATTGTTTCGATTGAAATATTAATTTTCGGACGTTCTATCTATGTACCAGGAATGTTGCTTCTATGCACCTACCTCAAAGATTGTGCTAAGAACCTACTTCATAAGTATAACATTATTCTAATATTGTTATACGAACATTATTATAATGTACCCTAAAAAATAATCTTTCGGCTAATATCTATAACAAGTTTTAAGAATATACCTAACCTACCAAGTCGTGCTGACAAGTTTATGTAGGTAGGTAACCATGATAAGAATATTTTCATATTGTTCACCTAATTATCTAAAGTTCCTACTCAAAAATCTTAATTGAACAATTAAACAAAAATGCTCTATCTAGAACCTACTAAGAATATTATAGGTATATTCTTTTTCTTTTGCTTTGTAGCACTTCCAAGAGAGGGAGCCACGCGCTATTAAAGATCTACATCTTGCCTAGCGTTTAAATTACTTTGGAACCTGTTTCTCTCATTTGGCGTGCTTACCGCGACGAGAGCATAACAAGCTCGAAGTCGGAGCTTTGGTCAAACACTTGTGTTTTCCAGAGAAGTTTTCCAACAACTCTTTCACTGCCTGCAATATAAAAGGACTAAAAGGAGCATTATTTGGAAGCGAAAATTAACATTCCAAGTATATCCCTAAAATCGAACAAGAATGTTATGTCTAGGATGCATATTGAGAATGATATATGTAGATATATTCTAAGAATATTTCAAGCATATTGGTATAATATTTTTTTGAGAACATAACTATAATGTCATAGAAACATTCTTTGAATGTGAGAATATACATTTCGAGCATATTTTTAGAATCAAACAGGAATATTCTTTTCAGGATGTACTGAGAATCTCATAGGTATATTCTAGGAATATCCTAATGGATTTCCCAGGAAGTTCTTGGGTATTGCAAACAGTATTTCTACAATCTTTTCTCAGAACATTCTCAGGACATTCGCAATGGTTTTGGCGAACATTCTAGGCACATTCCTCCTAAAAAAAGAACAGGTAGAACTGCAGGACTTCAAACTTGGCGCGAACAAAATGCTGGATATGCGAGAAAAGCAAAAGTCGATATAAATATTTATTGATAGCCAAGCTGCGCTGAAAGCACTCTGGTATCCATACACTGTAGATCGAACTGAAAACAAGCTCTGAATCAGCTAGGGGAGAATAACAAAGTTTCACTAGGATATACCGGACAAGAAGGCAACGAAAAAGCGGATTAACTTGCAAAAGTTGGATCTGGGGCTTAACTTCATTGGACCGGAACCAGTACTGGGGATAGCTCTACACGCGGCACCCAATCTCTACTTGAGCCAATATAGATACCAAACAATACTGGGAGAGGTTACCATGCAAAATCCTTGTACTCACCACAAAAAGGAAAAAAATGGCGGACACACTTCTGGGAATGGACAGGAAAAGCTCTGAAGCTCTGGTGGGTCTGTACACTGCACACTGCAAACTTCGGCATCACATGCACAGAATCAGATTAGCACAAGATACTGAGTGTCGCCTGTGCATGGAAAAGGGTCACGAAGCTGCAGAACATGTCCTATGCACCTGCGCGGCAATAGCCAGAATCAGGTATTCGGGGAGTCAGCTGTTCGACTCGAATACATGAAGCATGCTTCCCCCACGCTCATGGGAGAAATATAAACTCCGGAGTGAGCCACAATAGACCGCAAGTCGCAGTGGCAGTTGGCAGGGCCGACATTCTGACATTCAGAGGAAATCTGACCTAACCTAACCTATACTTCAGACTTATGCTTATATGGGAACTTCCCTATAGGGCGATTTGACGTTCTCTCAATTCAATATGGCGCTGTGGGAATAACACACCTGATATCCGTAAAGGCAAGTTTCATTCAAATCCCATTCAAATTGCAATCAATTGGAATTGAAGGGTAAGACACCTTCACGGTCGTCAAGTTTGTTATGCCCACGTCCCCATCTAGAATTATCAGCTGATTCGAATTGCCCAATGCCTAGCAATGGAACATAATTCCAGAACACAAACCAAAACAACTAGAAAAATTGGTTATAATACCTAGTAGGTCTGTTTCTGCAGAAATCACAAACCAGTCAGAGTGAATTTCATTGGTTGAAACTAGTTTTCTGACTGTTTATGATTGTTTTCAACTAATGAAATTTGCTCTGACTGGTTTGTGATTTCTGCAGAAACAGTCCTATTATTTTATCAGCAGACAAGCGACGCTATCAAACTGACTGTCGTGATTTTTCGAAACTAAAATCACGTCAGGGCAAATATCCTTTCTGATCACTACAAAAACTATTGCAGATTGCAGTAGGTACAACTGGAAGTACCTACTAACAATTGGAGAACTGCATTAATTTTATAATTTGTGCAAAAAATACAACTATAAAGAACATTATAATAACCCAGGATAAAATCAAATATTTAAAGGCAATCTTGTAAAGCAACAATTGCAACGACAATCTGACAACGTTACAATATTAATTAATTTGCAGTGTACCTATTATTGGTTGTTGGAGCGAATGACGTCATAGGTATTCGGCATTTGAAATACTTCCTCAAAAGAAGGAGTCTTATATTTAAAAAAAAAAATGATGACATCTCAAAATAGATATTAATTTGTGTTTTAGAATTTGAAAAAAAAAAATCCTAAATCTTTTCTTCGAAATCTCAGAACATATTATGAATTCATTAAGTGTCTGATGAATGGATATATCAGAAAGAAACAGTGAACAACTAGAAAATAAATTCAAGTAGCGACCAAAATTAACCATCTATCAACGTGCAATGGCAAAAAACAGATGAACATTGTGAAACCAATCATTTCTAGAAGTAACTTCTGATGCATAATTCCTAAAAATAACCTAAACGCTTCAGTAAGTATATTAATTTTTTTTTCAGTTAGTAAAATGTGTATCAAACTAGCGACAATTATGAAAAATATGAAAATTTGTACTCACGGTTCAGCAAACGGAAGACATCTGAAATCAAACAGAAATAAAATCAAAATTATTGGTATATAGGTACTTATTTGTTGGCTACAATTCATAAGTGATAAGAAATCAAAAACTTCCAATCCACACGTCTAGCCGTTCAATCAAACCGAAATGACGTTAAAAAGAATAAGGACCTTTCCGCAAATTTGGGCATTTCGTCCCCATACAAAGGTTTGTCGAAAAAATAACAGTGCGGATATTAATTGAGGGGTGCAGCCGATAGATTCAATAGACTGGTGGCTTCATTAGGCATTAAAGGGAACGGGGTACAAATCAATAGCAGGGGTGGATTGGATTGACAAAAAAAAAACTTTTGAAGTTCCCTTTCTACTTCTTGCTATTTACCTTTGAAATTATTTTATCGTAATAAAATAGGTACCTATTAGATATGGGCATATAATATGGACATGAGTACTTGAGGAGAATGTCTTCGTTTTTTTATTTAAGTGAATAATTGAACTCACACAAACTTACAGCAAATAGGTAGGTAATAAATCAATAATTGGGGTATTCAGGTCAGCAAAATGTCGAACTTGAATTTATTATTAACTAAATTCCGGTTCAATTTCTTGAACCGTTCTGTTCTAGGACAGTTATCAAAATGATTCGCTGACAGCGCTGAATTGCATGCGCATTGGTTTTGATGCCAAAGACGGTTCCCGGACTGTTCACGAATTCAAAAAACCCGAACGCATCCGGAACCCAATCCAAGAACCAAGAATTTAGTTTGACATTTCATTCGAAAACATAACCCTCAAGTTTGAGATGTTTACTTTGATTTAGGGCGGGTATTATAAAACTACTTTGAGAGTTAACTTAAAGTTAACTTCTGGAATTACATGTAATCATAAAGTTAACTTCAAGTTAACTGTCAAAGCAGTTTTATAATACCCGCCCTTAGGGTGGGTTTTATAAGAGTTAACTTTAAGCTAACTCTCAAAGTAGTTTTATAAGGGCGGGTATTATAAAACTGCTTTGACAGTTAACTTGAAGTTAACTTTTTGAATTACATGTAATTCTAGAAGTTAACTTTAAGTTAACTCTCAAAGTAGTTTTATAGTACCCGCCCTAATACCCGCCCTTAGAGGTTATATTTTTTTTTGTAAATCAGATTATCTTTCTTTAATCAATCAAAGGTGCTTTCCAGTGACCCATTTGAGTTACTCCTGAGCAGCTCAAGAGTGCTTCACAATTACTTTGCGCGTTCCAGTGCACAGAGTGTCGTACACTTAAACTACCCATTTCTGTTATCCCCTGCCCCCTCGTGCACCAACCTTTATTTCGGTTTTCCTTGCTCCTGGAGTCTTAAATGGTGGGGGTTAAGATGAGAGCGTTCCAGTGCTGCTTATGTCGAACAGTTCAAGAGCGTCACACTCCAGGAGTATGATACTCTAACAATTTAGGCACTGGAAAGCAGCTCAAAAATACCAAAAAAACAAATTTGATACCTTAACCCTTCTCATCTGTCAAATATCGTAAAAGGATTCATGTTGTACCTACGACATGCGCATGTGTAACAAATACTCCGAAAATAGTACTTGCTCTAAAGCAGGGATCGATTCTAACAGTTCTAAGACCGTCCCAGAACAGTTCTGACTTTAACCCGGATGCCAAACTTCTGATCCAGAACCGTAAAAAATTAGTTCGATAAAACCCGAACAAGATTTAAGCTGCGCACGTACTCCTGACAGTTCCAAAATAGTTATTGCAAGAACCCGAATAAAACTATTGTGGGGCCTCCAATTATCTTTCACCACTTTCTTGGTAACATTGAAGGGTGCAAAAGTATGGAGAGGTTTTCTATGAAATACATCGAAAGTTGGCTTATTTACCATATTGAAAAAAAGACTTTCCCCCTCAGAGTACCTACAAGAGCACCTCTGGAAAATCATGCAAAACTGTAATGAAAAAAATCTTCTGATTTTCACGAATTAGCAAGAGAATATTTAATCGTATTAACTATTAAGCATCCAGCATGGGAGTTTTTTTTATAGTGTAGAGTGTATAGAGATTCAATTACATATTATTGTTCGGCCTTGAAATGATGGAGTAGAGGTAGGAAATATTTGTGAGAGAAAGAGCCTTTTGTCATTAGACGCAAAAAAGTTCAATGGTTGTTCGATGTTATTAAGTCTACACTGGAAATTGGATGGTTGGATATCATTTAAAGTTATTTGATATCTTGAAATAATAAATATTAGGTATGTATTATAACAGGTCTTAGAAAAAAAAACGTAAATCAAAGAAGGCTATGATTTTTTGAACGTATGTCTTATTCCTGTACTTTTAAACATTGTTTTGAATTTTACGGAAACACTGATCCGATTAACCTGATCACAGTCTGTTTGTCTCCCATCTTTCTTCAATAAACACGATTGAACAAAGACAAATTAATTACATCAGGCTGTCATCGACAGGGTTAATCGGTTCAGCTGTCATACGACATATTGCGTTCTGGAACAACTCCAGTGTATGACGCAGACCTTTCTACCAACCAATAAAAATAATTCACAATGGCTCTGACGCACATCTTTGATGCTTTTTTTGTCTAAGCTCTGAAAAGTGACAATGACAACAACCGTCATTCCATTCTTTATTTGCATTTTGTTCGTTTAACATGAATTTTTGGAAACTTTCATTTCCAAAGAAAAACACTGATCTACGAGTTCTTACGTTCCGTTTATGTTTTTTTCGCAAAGCCTTCCCTGATATAAAATGATCTATCGGAGCCCCATTATTGATTAGGCAGATCTATATGTGGAATGTTTTCAATAGGATTCGTTAGGCCCAATTTAAGATAGCCCAAGTATTTTCTTTTGCTCTGGGCAAACATAATACCCCATAGTAATGACCGGTCACTTTTATTGGGGGGAGAGACTGCTCTTTAAGAAAACTTTTACTTATTGCTATTTCTATTTGACCTTGCCAAAGTCTATTTACACATGGACTTAAATTGGATCACGGGTAATATTGATGAGACACCCTCTCGTTTGTATTGATTAGATATTGAACATGATTTATAACGGATTGAATGGACTCTATCAAATTTAAATTGCACTCCAATTTCCCACAGTAATAATAAGATCATTAGGCATAAATATTTAATCGGTTCGAGACAATTTGTGACGCAATCAACCGAACAGATAGCGCTATCTGGTTTTAACTAATTGAAAGGTAATCGCAAAGTTGGCCGTTAAGGGCTGGCGGCTCGCGGCCTAATCCGAATTTGTGCCCAGCGGCAGCTGATAAAGGGCCCACTTGTAAGACACTAACTGCTTTCGCAAATTACCCGCTTTGTTTCTATTCGACCGATTTAGTACACCCCTGGTGGCACTTTACGTATGCTTCCGCATCGCACGTGACCGTTTAATACTGTCTCTATTAATAACTTAAGTTTACTTTCGATTTATTCATTGAGCTGCAGGAATATTGAACTGTGCTACAGTTTGACAACCTGTGTTTGGTCTTCTGGAAGATACTCGAGATATTTTTGGTGTGGCGATTCTATCGAAAATTTGTGTCAAAGATTCTTGCTGACTTTCAATGTGCATCTCTTGGTGAGTCCTCATAAAAGTTGTAAAAGCTAATCATGTCATGTTCATTTTATCCTACCCACAACTGCCGAAAAGAAACTCCCCAGAGACACACAGCTTTAGACCCATCCGAGGTACCTGGTGCCAGACTTATACATACAGAGTGAGTTTCAAGCATGGAACGCCTAAATTATCTCGGAAACGGCTTGCAAGATTGTTATGAATTTTGGTTTGAAAGAGTATTGTGATATGGCAGATAATATGATAGTATACTTACATGATTGTCGGATCTTTCGTTTTCCGAGAAATATCAGAAACTTTGTTTTTTCAAATGGATCACCCCGTATATTATGACATTTATGCATTCTACGGAAAATTCTAGACATATTTCATGTACAATGTCATATACCTATCTTCGACTCTTTCGGAAATATTGACAGTTGAAAATTGACGTTTTTGCATTTTTGACAGGCTGTGAAACCTAAACGACTAATTTTACAGCGAAACCGATTTCACATTCTCATTTGTAGCTTTTCATAAGCTATCATTTGAAACCAATTGTGAAAAATTTAACTGAACTTTTTAATCATGGATTAAATTCAGAGTTGGTGTCAAATGATAGTTTATGAAAAACTAAGATAAGAATTATATAGACTTTGATTATATGATCAGTTTTGCTGTAAATTCAACCGTTTAGATTTTAAAGTCTGTCAAAGTTGCGAAAAAGTCTATTTTCAACTGTCAATAAATCCGAAACAGTTGAAAATAGGTATATGATATTTTACATGAAATATGTCTAGAATTTTCCGCAGAACCCAGAAATGTCATAATATACAGGATGATCCATTTGAAGAAACAAAGTTTTTGACTCGGTTTTTGATATTTCCCGAAAAACGAAAGATCTGAAAACCATGTAAATACTACCATATTATCGGCAATATTATATTACTTTTTTAAACAAAAATTCATCAAAATCGTGCAGGGCGTTTTCGAGATAATTGAGACGTTCCATATTTAAACCTCATTCTGTATACATATATGGCCATCATAGATTAAGTGGAAGCATTTGCTTTGGTCAACAGAGAAGCTCTTTGGAAGATATTGGCAAAGGTTGGGTGTCCGCAAAAGTACATCCAGATACTTCGCCTGCTGCATGATAATATGAATGCAACCGTCCTAAGTAATGGTAGTCAAGAAGAGCCTTTTCAAATAACTATACAGGCGTTTAAACAGTTCACGAGCCAAGACGAAATCGATAATTGAACTTTAAATTGCGGACGAAAAAGTCGTGATGGCTAATACAGAGGAAAATCTTCAAGCGCATCCGACCAGGTATACAAAAGAATCGACCTGGAGGTAAACTTCAACAAGACTCAGATTCTGCACCAACCCGCGCCGGGCACTAATCCCCAACCCCCAAATATAACTATAAATTACCATTTCTTGCAGAAC